TGTCATACAAATAGTCTTCAAGTTATCAAAAAACTAAATTTCGAGAAACCAACTCCCATTCAAGCGCAAGCTATACCAGCAATTATGGCAGGGCGAGATGTGATCGGTGTTGCAAAGACAGGCAGTGGCAAAACGGTCGCTTTCCTTCTTCCAATGTTTCGTCATATCAAAGATCAACGACCCCTGGAACCAATGGAAGGCCCTGTAGCAATTATAATGACACCAACAAGGGAATTGGCGGTACAAATTCATAGGGAATGCAAACATTTTCTTAAAGCGTTGGCATTAAGGGTGAGTCGCTAAGCAGCAAGAGACGAGCTTTATAATTGTAACGTTGGACATATATGCATTCAGATGCTAACGAAAGTTCTGGTGTTTTGTGTTAGGCTGTTTGTGCATATGGTGGTTCGCCCATAAAAGATCAAATAGCTGATCTAAAACGTGGTGCTGAAATTATCGTGTGCACGCCTGGTCGCATGATCGATTTGCTATGTGCAAATTCTGGACGCGTGACCAATTTGAAGAGAGTCACATATCTGGTGTTGGACGAGGCCGATCGTATGTTTGATATGGGCTTTGAACCGCAAGTCATGAAAATTGTAAACAACGTAAGGCCGGATCGACAGACTGTCCTTTTCTCCGCCACTTTCCCACGTCAGGTAAGTCTTTTATCTTTAGTTTTGACAATGTTGAAGTTACGAAACTAAGCTGATAATTATTCAGATGGAGTCTTTGGCCCGAAAAGTTCTAAAACGACCGCTTGAAATCACGGTAGGCGGTAGGAGTGTTGTAGCTCAAGATGTCATGCAATTAATCGAAGTACGGGAGGAAAGCACAAAGTTTGTCCGATTACTTGAAATATTAGGGCAGCAATATAACGATGATCCTGAGGCACGAACTCTTATATTTGTTGACCGGCAAGAGGCCGCTGACAACCTTTTGAGAGATCTAATCCGTAAAGGTTATCCTTGTATGTCGCTTCATGGAGGAAAAGTAAGTTTTTTGGCTTGTTTTTCCGTGTGATTTCGGATGCGTTACTGATACTGATTTGAACGTATAGGACCAATTAGATCGCGATAGTACAATAGCCGATTTCAAATCTGGTGTATGTCAGATTCTAATTGCAACGTCAGTAGCAGCCCGTGGCCTTGATGTGAAGCAATTAAAGTTGGTTATTAACTACGAGTGTCCTAATCATATGGAAGATTATGTCCATCGCGTCGGAAGAACAGGGCGTGCTGGCAATAAAGGTACTGCGTACACGTTCATTACTCCCGAACAAGAACGCTATGCTATGGATATTGTAAAGGCTCTCAAGTTAAGCGGTGGCCATGTTGGTCCCGAGTTACAGCAGCTTGCTGATGGTACGTAATTCCTTATTACCAGTAGCGACTTTGGCCATATATTTAACGATAGATATCTTTGTTCTTAGAATTTCAGGAGAAGGTAAAAGCAGGAAACGCCACTTACTCTGGCTCTGGATTTGGTGGTAAAGGATTGGAGCGATTAGATGAAGCTCGTGACCTTGTCAAGAAGGCTCAGCGTAAGGTTGGTTAAACTTCAAAGAGATCATCGTGCATAAGTCAACGGACATCAATTTAACGTTGTTTATTTTACTCTACAGACATATGGCGATGCCGACGATCAATCGTCTGACGAAGATATAGCAGATGATGATCATACAATCGTCTCCAAACGAGATGAGCCTGCAACCAATAGTGGAGCAACAGCCGCCAGTGCTGCAGCACAAGCAGCCTTGCCAGCAAACGGCAGTTCAACAGAGATAACTTCTGTAGCTCAAGCTGGTAAGAATTTATCATTTAATATTCTATTTATTGCAATATAACCGGAATTAACATTATTCTTGTCTCCACACAGCACTTAAAGCTACTCAAGAAGCTGCTGCCCGCATTAACGCGGCAGTTGGAGCAAGCGGCGTACAAAGAGCCAAAGATATTATCGCTGATATTAATTCTCGGTTCAAAGAAAATTCTGTGCAAGGTAACGGTTCGGAGGATAATAGAACCGAAAACGTTGCCGAGTATTCTGTCGAAATTGAGATAAATGATTATCCTCAGAAGGCAAGGTGGAAAGTTACAAATAAGGTATGCGATATGGTCATTAGTGCAAATCCTTTCGTGCAATGTGTATTAACAAGGAATATAATGTCCTAGGAACAAATTTCACAAATTACTGAGCTCACTGGTGCAGCTATTACCACACGTGGCACATACTTTCCTCCCGGCCGCCACCCAGCGCCCGGTTCTGGTGAAAGGAAACTCTACTTGTTCGTTGAGGGTGAGAATGAGTATGTCGTTGAGAAAGCTAAAAATGAAATCAAACGAATATTGACGGAGACGACGCTCAGTGCGATTGAAGCTGAAGCCCGAAACCCAGGAAGCACTTCATTGGGTGGATATGGCAAGTATACGGTTGTTTAACGCGAATAGATTGTATTATCTGTCTTTATCTTCCCTATGCCTCTCTCTTCTCTCTTTTTTTCTTCCATTCTTCAATATTTGCAAAGTGACAATAGACGATGTTAGTGTTACGTTCACGAAGAAAATATTTATACAATAAATGAAGGTGGTTTATCTTTTTCCTTCTGTTTGCTTTTTGTATTACCATTCGGTTGACGTTCTTGCCTTTGCCTCATTCGCGCTCCGGACTCCATATATGATTGTCTGTGAGTGGTCAGAGTGGGTGAGTCAGCAGTGTGAGATGTCCATTGCCATTGCACATATTTACTTTGAGCCTACTAACGGATAGCTTCTTAAGCATCAAGCGTTATTCGGTCTTCTTTAGGGAATGATGGACCAACTAGATTTTCAAGTAAAAGGAAGTAGGTAGACTTCCTCTAAATGAAGAGTATTTTGTGTCGTTTGTCTCTGGCTAGTCAAGAACAAGTCTGTCCGTATTGATATTCATGATACTATATGGTTGCCTAATATTTGGCAGCAATACACTGACCAGAGTCTCTTGCATAGCAGATGAGTCAGCGATGCATCGATTATTGAAGAAGTCTAATGTATGAGATGAATGGGGTACGTTTATGCCTGAATCTCCGACAATGATTCATATAATTTTAATATTCTTACTATGTAGATTACCAGGTATCAGCAATAAGATAGTTAATAAAATTAGTTGTGGATGTACTAATCGAGTCACAATATACGCCGACGTTTGTCCGTCTAACAGTACCCGTGTACTAGCTACCATTTACTATTCTCTAACAGATATTCTTAGTGTATACTGTTAAAATCTCTAATTATGAAAGATCGGCATTCTTCTGTTTTGCAACAGAATTGATTAGTAACTGTTTGAAGGAGAGACGATGACAGCAGTTTGACAGCCAATTTCAAGGATTGGTGATGTTGATCTGTGAGTATCTGTTGACGGATACTAGAAGAGCAAGTAGATAATGGACGAAGAATTTGAAAAAAAATTTTCTGCATTAAATTCTCATCAGAATATTTAAATATGATTAACCCGATAATATAATTAGAAAAACATTGAAATAATATTAGTGTTTATTCATCAGGAATTTCGATTTCTCCATTGTCAACCATCTCACTGAGGCTCATTGGACTTTGACTACAAAATATAAAAATCACGTTAACATTCTCTACAACCAGCAACAACAAACTGATTCCATACTCTAAACACCGACTCACCCGTCTACGGTACACCCAACGCTGTTACAAGTCCCTAGAATCTCTTTCACAGTTCCTTTAAGCAGACGAGCATACGATTTGAATCGTATAGTGCGTGCGATTTCGATAACCTCATCCATAGTTAAATTCCCAGAATGTTTAATGTTCTTTTCTTTCTTTCGATCTCGTGGAGGCTCTTTGAGAGCTCTGATAACTAAGGATGAAGCGGTAGGGACTACTTCGATAGCCGCTTGACGATTTTGAATCGTGAGTTTCACCGTTACTCGAAGACCCTTCCAGTCAGTCGTGGCTTTGGCAATGTCTTCACCTATTTTTTTTGGTGCCTAAAGTTGTCGGAACAAGGCAGAGGTAAGACGACGAGGTTGCGAGAATGGAGAAGCGATAAGGAATAGACTCGTATGATATAAAATGCTAGGTCAGTTAATTCGATTCTGGTATTCCGTAGCTAGGTCTCGAATTCCTTCCCACAAATTTTTAGTTACACTACGCGCGAACATACCAAACCAAGAGGACCGATCTTGGGGGCAAGAGTAGCTGCGGCACCTACTTCTCCGCCCGTTGCTCTAAGATAGATGACCTATGGGTTTGATAATAATCAAGTTAGCTTTGGTCTTTTTATGATATGCAACAAATCGAATCATTAATGATTACTTTATCTGTACTCAACTTTAACTTCGTTTGGGTCTATATACGGTCAAGTATACCCATAGTTTCGTTCAAGCAGTCAGTAATAACATTGGCGAATTTTTACGCTTTCCCTTGTATAATACATGTTACCAGACAAACTCACCGATTTTCGGTGCCATTATTCAAAATATATAATCAATCGACTGGCACAAATTGGCGAGGAAGAGCAAACTGAAAATTTTTCATCTTTAAATGGGGACACTGCGCCATTATCGCCACAAGAAATATTTTTAACAAGCCACAACAATCCAACCCGCCACAAAGTTAGATCAGCAAGTCCCCATATTTGAACATTAGATCATGTGAGATAAAGGGGCTGGTGTGGCTGTAAATGAACTAATTTAGTTGTTGACAAAACTCGATGGTGAAATTTACACCTGGTTCAAACCACAACAAATATCGAACGTCCAACTCTTTCAAACCAACCAAGCAAGGTTAAGAACAAGATCAAAAACCTTGCAAAGGAGCCTCTACAGTGGAGAACAAAAAACGAATCCCAAAACCAAAACTTTAAGATTAATAGCGTCTCGGGTATAAAACCAAAGGATAGATTATGAAGAGGCGGATTGCGAAAACAACTAGCCAAGCGAGCCCATACAGTTTTGCCTTTCTAGGGGGTTGATCAACAATTCAACTGAAATGACGAAGCAAAACGGAAGTTGGTTATGCAGCAATCAAGGATTACTTGTGCCAAAGCTTGTATGGCTTCGGTTACGCTCTAAATCAGGCTTACACCAACCGGGTCAAAAAACGCAGGCCGTTTTTTGGGTTGTTAGCGTTTTTGCGGCCATGGCCGATCCGGATACGCTGCAGGAGGATATTACCAGGGAGAGACAGTGGTGTGAAAAATCTGTAATGTATTAAAATACCCAAACCTTCGAAAAGAACTTAAAAATGAGGTGGAAGTGCGAGAACAAAGATTGGCGCAAAGAAAAGGAATAAAAAGATCGCCAAAATGGACGGAAATAAAAAAGAGCTCCACGGACACAATTTTCATTACAAAATTCTTTTGCTTTAACTGTTCATAAAACCCAAGGGTTAACTCGAGGCATCAGGCAAACAAATGTATTTAACTACTGCACCATATTAATTCGTGTAACCGTCTAAGGATTCTCGCAATCCAGAAAGTGCCGAATCAACTAGTAAAATTAACGAGCAAGCAACAGGGCACACCGTTCACCAGCTTGAGGCCGGAACTCAATTCCGGCAAAATGGTTTTATTATTATCTTTTTTCGACAGGTGGTAATAACTGACGCATCTCCACGTGACTTATTCGTTTGATTTTCCCGCGTCCGGTTGCTCTCTGCACAGTTTTCACTAAAACCCAACATGTCAGCATTCAATTGTTTGGTTCTCCTCCTGTCGACCGTGTTTTCACTGTTGAAGTCGCGAAGTCGAAAACATATTCTGTCTGAAAAAACTGCTCTTTATGAGTTACTGTGGTCTCTGGATATGGCATAGCCAATTTGGCTGCTACTTTGGGAGTGTATTACCTGGATAAATTGGAAAAGGTGGTCAACTATAATGCAACATGTCATGTCTTGGAGTATGTTTGGATTGCTACAGGAATTGCAATAATGAAATACCTATCGCAAAAAAAAATAAGCATATGAATGAATCGAACATTGAATCCGAAAAGAACCCTATATGGGGTAGACTGCAACAAAACCAGACAAAGTGAACATTTAGTCATGTGAGCTAAAGGAGGCTGATGTGGCAGGA